TTAAACTAATTTGAGATTTATTAATAATCGATATGATTAATTTAATGCAGAAATCTTAAATCAAAATAAGCTTTTATAAATATATGAAAAAAGACAATCACTGCAATAGGTGTATCTGTTCCAGGGAAATAAAATACTTAATTCTCCGTAATAGTTAATTGTTGGTCTTCTTATTTTCTTTTTATTTTTTTCTTATTTTTACTGTTTAGAGTTTTAAGATTGTCATATGATGTCTTCATACTCTTTGACATGTCTATATCATATTGTGGTCACTTAATTCGTTAGCCATAATAATCATTATTATGCTCAGAACTTATCTTACCACTAGTATCCTACCAACTATTAAGAATTCAGAGTTGGAAACCTTTTATGGCACTTCTTGATGTTTTTTTCTTCTAATCTTCTATCCTTCAATGTATAGGTCATTATCTTTGATTAAACTCCCGCACATAACACAAACTTTTATAGATTTTTTTTTTAACATTATTTTTATAAGTCTTTAAAAATACTTAGCATTGCTATGCACCTATAATCAATCACCCTACATTAATGTGTTACAGATAAATATGATATGCAAAAGTCTATGTTTGGTTATTTTAATATGCATTGAAGGAGGTGCTGCAACAAATTAAGTCTGTGAACAATAAAATTAATTAAAACATTTAGAAAATAATTATTTAAGAAATTATTCAATTAATGCTACTATACTTTTTTATTTATGTATTGTTCTATGTATCGAAGTGATCAAAATAAATTGTTGAATTTTATTTCAATGTGTTTGGTCATTTTTGTACAACAACAACAAACCTTTATCCCACTAAGTGGGATCGGCTACATGAATTTTTTTCTCCATTGCATCCTATGAGCATCATATTTTCAGTTGATTCTAATAAATTAAGATTATTTTTTTGTATAATAGGCCTAAGTCTTTCTAGGTCGAGCTTTGCTTTTCTTAACATAAGTCGAATCTAAAACGTCTAATCAGATCATCAGATGGTCGACATTTAATATGACCAAACCATCTAAGACGACTCTCTCTAATTTTGCCCGTCACTATAGCTACACCAACCCTATCACAAATATATTCATTTCGCATTTTGTCTCTAAATGTAAAGCCACTCATCCACCTAATCATTCTCATCTCGGCAATACTTAACTTAGTTTTATGCTTTTCTTTTAAAGGCCAACATTCAACGCCATAAAACATTGCAGGTCTCACCACCATCTTATATTTTCCTTTCAGTCTAAACGATACTTTTTTCCACACAATAGCTCCGACGCATTCCTCCACTTCAACCAACCAAGTTGAATTCTTCTAATAACATCTCCTATCTATATCATCATCTCTTTTAACAATAAACCCAAGATATCTAAAGCTTTCACATATTTTAATAATTTGATCACCCATAGTTACTGTCACAAAGCTGCTACTACTAAAATTACACTCAATGTATTCAGTTTTAGTTCTACTCAAACGAAGGCCTTTAAACTCCAATGTAGACCTCCATAATTCAAGTTTTTCCTGAACTTTCTCTCTCATCTTATCCACGAAAGGGATATCTTCAGCAGAAAACATACTCCAAGGTACATCCTCCTGTAAATATCCAATAAGATCATCCATAACTAAAGCAGAAGGGGGCTTAAAGCCGATCCCTGGTGTAATCCAATAGAAATAGGAAAATATTTGGTCAATCCTCCTTCTGCTCAAACACAAGTAACAGCTCTAGTATCAGCTCTAGTATACATATCTTTATAAGTCATATCAACACCTTTCTTCTCAAGAACTTTCCAAAGGATATCTCTTGGAACCTTATCGTAAGTTTTTTCTAAATCAATAAAAATCATATGTAAATCCTCCTTATTATCTCGAAACTTCACCATCAAACCTCTTAATAAATGTATAGCTTTCATAGTAGACCTGTGTGGCATAAATCCAAATTGATTATGAGAAATCTTTGTAATACGCTTAATTTATGCTCAATTACCCTCTCCCACAATTTTTAAGTATGACACATCAACTTAATTCCTCTATAATTTGCACACTCTTGTGCATCCCCTTTACTCTTAAAAGCAAGACTTCTTTTTAGTTTTTAAAATAAACTTAAATATTTTAGTAAGACAAGCAACTCCAAAGCTCCTGTATATTTCCACACTTCGATTGAGATATCATCAGGTCCTACAGACTTTCCACCCTTAGTTTTCTATAATATTTTCTCAACTTTTTTTTTACTAATGCAACATTAAAAATGAAACATTTTATTATTATTAACGATATTAAGATCACTAAGGTCGATTGTATTTTCAGAAACTTCATTACAAAATTTATCAATCAACTCACCCACCTATGATGAATATCTTTTTCTAAGAAAATCACTTTTTGATTTTTCATCTTTAATACAGTTTACTTGAGTTGAATCTTTATTTTTCTTGTCTCTTTGTTTGGCTAGTTTATACATATATTTTTTACCTTTCTTAGTATCTAATCTATTATAAAGACCACTAAAAGTAGAATTCTTAGCGTCATAGATTGTTCTCTTAAACACCCTACGGATGATTTGATATTTTTCCCAGTTCTCTAAGATTTTTCATTTGGACCAATTTTTATAACATAATTTTTTATATTATATCTTTTCTTGCACATTATTATTTCACCACCAATTATTTTAATTTATAAATTTCTTTTTTAAATATTTAAGTACCTCTTTTGCCTCTTGTTTAATAATGTTTGTTATTTTATTCCACATAGAATTTGCTTCTTCATGAACACCCCTAATCTTGAAATTTTGAATTTTACTCGTAAAAATAATTTTTTTTTGCATTTTTTAGGTACTTTCATTTAATTCTACAATGATGATTCATAGTATTCTTCATTTTACAACTATTCATCTTAAAATCCAGAACTAATAATAAATTTTAACTATTTAAATCCTCATTTGGAATGACCTTATAATCTTTACATTCTCTACGATCTCTTCTTCTCATAAAAAAAATAATCAATTTGTGTTTTGTTAGATCAATTTTTATAAGTAATAGTATGCTAATTTTTTTTTTTGAATAAAGTATTAGCAATAACAAAATCATACGCTAAAAAAAATTTAATATGGCTCTACGTTCTTCATTGATCACACCAAAATTGTAGCCACCATGAATATTTCTAAAATCTTCTGCCACTCTACCGATAAATTCATTTAAATCTCCTAAAAAAAAATTAATATGGCTCTACGTTCTTCATTGATCACACCAAAATTGTAGCCACCATGAATATTTCTAAAATCTTCTGCCACTCTACCGATAAATTCATTTAAATCTCTTCCAGTAGAAATTATTTCTTTAAAAGGTATGATTTGTATTATGTCTTCTTAGTCTTTCCAGAATTTATCTTTAGAACCTATATCTAAACGTACATGAGGAGCATAAGCACTTATAATATTAAAATTCTTAGTATCAACCAAATTTTTTTTGAGATTTTTAAAAAAATATGATATAAATTTTAGAAGAAATTTTAAATATACATTATTATATAGCATCATCAGGGTAATTTAAAATATTTTTAGTATTATATACAGTTGCTATATCTACTTGCATCAACTTTTAACACGAACACCAATGTGTAACAACTGTAATAACATATGAATATTTAGTATGCCTAGTATATTATAGAGCTTGCACGTATGAAAATAAATTTTGATTATTTTTAATAGGAGGTTTTTTGTAGTGCATTAAAATTTTCGATGTTAATTTTATCATTAAAATGCCTAAAATGAATAAAATTTATACTAGAATACTCATTATAGTCTAATATCATCGAAGAAATGGACAAGCAATACCCATAAGAATACTTCTACTCTATTTTAAAGATTGAATATTTCACTCTAATTATAGAGTCCTCCAAGTAACATGTTCTTTATTTCTTTCAGTGTTATCAAAACAAAAAACACAATGCGATGAGTTAGACTTTATTTTCTGCTTCAAAGCGCAGAGCCAAGCAGTGCTTTTATTAACCAAAATACTAATTGGTTATGTAAAACTATTAATATATAATTACATTCATTAATAATTATAAAGTATAAAGTATGACTAAAAAATTGATATAACTAGAAAAGAATGTCGTACACTTCCTAACTTGAAGGCAACCACTGAGGGTGAACCTATTAATTAAAATTTCTTCAAATTTATCATATTTTACTGCATTAATTAAAAACTTAAAAATTGTAAAAAAAACATGCAAATTAACATTAGCGCTTCAAAGAAGCAAAGCGAGCATCATGCGCATCGCCTCACTTTGCTTGTGAAGCATAGTTCGAAGCGCACTTTTAAAACTTTGATTTCTATTGTCTTGAAGTTTGTTATTTGATAAACATCCTAGTAAATAACAATTTTTTAAATTAAATACCAATTTCTAAATTAATAACACATCTAACCCAAAAAAAAACCCTTAAATCAAATTTTTAATTTCAATATTTTCTCCTCTTTCAAACGTTTGAACCCATTAACTCAAAATTGATTTTATTTTGTTGGAGAATAAGAATAACTGAATCTGCTTTATAATACATAGTTTCTCCTCCCTCTTCTCTTCTTGTTTTTGCCTTCCCTACTCCTCTTTGAACCTGCCACCTATTGCTCTCTCTTTGAGCAACTGGAGGAAATGTGTTTTAAAGACATGCTGGATTAGTGCAATTCGGAATATATAAATATATTTATATACATATTAATATATTAGCCAATATTTAACTCTATCACAGCCGTTACCTTACAAATCCTCCGTTGCAGGCGCTGTTTAGTGGGTTGGGCAAAAGCCTACAAGCATTAACGCTTGATACAGTAGAATAAATAAGGAACTTGTATTATTACTATGACTTGGGACAAAAACACACACACATGCATACACACATGCATATGCATGTAAGTTTTAAGTGAAATTTAATTTTATCTTTTTTCTCTTTGTCCTTTTTATTATAATTTTAAAGTTACTACGTCTAAATCATCAATTCTGCCAACAGACAAAGACCGCTTGTGTGCTTATTGACCTCTGTGCTAGTTTGTTTTCACCATGGATATCAACCATTACTGCAAAGGTACCTTTTTCACTCCCCGCTCACCTTTACATTCTTCTCTCGTCGTAAAAGTTCATTACTCCATTAATTGTTGAAAGTTTTATTCAGGTAGATTTGGCAATTGAGCTTATGGAGGACCTCTTGGGTATAATCCAGGTGTTTTATTATAACTAATTTTACTCCAGCGAGTCAAGTTTTCCAGTCACTGTTAAGAATTTTAAGTTATTCTGCAATATTTTAGATTTCACTTTTTAACTATTCTTTCTCTACACTCACCTTAATGTTTATGCCGAAGTAAGCGAGGAAACTACTAAGGTTGGATTACCATCTGCTAGTTAACATCTACCAGACCTTTTTGTCATTTATTCTTATTAAATTGTATGAAACTATTGATGACTACTGTTTTTCATGAGCTGATTTTTAGAGAAGCTAGGATTTACCTGGCTTTATTTGTTAATTAGCTCGTGCTTCTTTGATCATCAATAGATATAGTGGAAGAGTTGTTTCACAAGTTGCTTGAAAATTATCATGTTTTTCAAAAGAAATGGGCTGGCCTAGAAGCAGACCAGCTTGGCTTTTTATGAGTTTAGGTCAACCTTAAATTTTTTTACTTTCCGCAGATCAATGTGGAAGATGGATTTTTATTGTTAGCATTGATCCGTAAATTTTACTTGAATTGCTTATATTTTGCAATTTTTTAAATTTCTTATGTTTCCTCATGAATTTAGCTCGAAGTGAGTTGCATTGAAATTTAGGTGTGCTTAGATAATACGATTTTTCTTAGATTAATATTTGCTATTAATATGACCGTTATTTTGGATTTTTTACCTGAAGTTTTTATATTTGATGCTTAGGAATTTTATTTTTTGAAAATAGACAAGGCTAATTGAATATTTCTATCAACTTGACCAACATTAGGGCGTTTGAGTAGCTTCATTTTGTTATTTTTGACCTTACTGACTCCATATGATTGCCGGTAGAGGATTGAATCCTCAAGATTGGTTTTGATTAAGTTAGTTCAAAGGTTATATGCTTTAAAGATCTTATCAACTCTACTCTTGTATGTAGAGGATTGGGTCTATGATTTACATTACATACCAAAATATTATTTTTTTTGCATATGTTTTCAAATTTACTCCAAACACATATGATCGAGTATGTTGGCAAAATAGATTATCATTTTTTGTAAGTAACTATAATAAATGTTTTCATTTTGAAATGATTTTTTGTTTCCTAAAAGATTTTGAAGATTTCGAAAGAGCATTTTGTTCTCAATCCCTAATAGGGTCGTTGTATTCAACTGAGAATACGTGTTTATGCATCACTCTTTAAGGCGGGTTTTGTCAATTCCAATACTCAGGGTATAAAGGATCAGACTTACGGCCCGCTTGAGAAATATTATGCTTTATATTAATAAATTTTTTTTTTTTGAAAAGAGATTTTGTAAAATTTTACAATGTTTGCATGCTTTTTAAATTAATTGCGCATGTTCACATAGTCTTTAGTTTACATAATATTCATAAACATCGAGTATGCAGGCATCTTAGTTTAATAAATTGGGATGGTTTGGAGAACTTGCATGTTTTTTGAGGCGAAGCAAAATTTTGAGTGCAACTTTGTTTAGCCCCACAACATCCCCAGGCATCCAATTTGAACACTTGGTGTGTTTGTCAAAGCACATACCAACATTTTCGCTTGGTTTAGTGCTCAAAATATCATCAACTTAGACTTAAACATTGGTTCTTTTATCAGAGTCCTTGAGCAACGTCGTCTTTTTTAGTGCTTGCACATTTTTTAAATTACTATATTTGAGTTTGACTGCTATCATGTAATTCACTTTACTTGAAAATTTCAATATTTGTTATTTGCATGAGTATTTCTATCCTTAGAATGTGTGCAAATGTTTCATTTTATGTGTTTTTTAAAAAACAAATCACTTTTTTGTTTGCTTGCATGTAGTTGTTGTGGATTTGATGTTGTGAGTGGCATTTTATGTTCTTATTTCAAATTTAAAGCAATGTTGATTTGCTTGCATTTTCTCCATAGTGTGTTTGTTTGGAGAAACTTCTTCGAAAGAATTTCCTTCTAGTTTCACCGCGGAATAGAACACTGAATTCAAGAAAACCGGAACAATAAAATTAAGCACAGAAGCAAAATCAAATAACTAGAAAAGCACACTATAATTCATTATGAAAATCAGATAGTTTTACAAATGACTCACACAAGTTTTCTCTTCACACATGAACAAAATTACAGGACACTCAACAATCTTCATTCTCCGATCCGATGTGAAAAACACACACCAAGATCCCAGAAATTCTTATGTCCAACTCTTCTCTCCTTCATCAGGAACTTATTGAAGAACACCAAATGAAGACTTACACCCAAACCATCATTACGCTCCTCGAAATTGGTTTAAAAACCCTGAAAGCAGAGTAAGTGCACCGGGGTGCCTAAGCGCCAAGCTCTAGGGATCGCGCCCAGCAAACCTGGTGCTTAAGCCCCCAAGGCCGACTCTTAAGCGTCGGCTCCTTTGTTTGTGCCAAAAATATGACCGTTTTATTGTCCCAAGAGGGGCGCAAAGGCGTCCCCTCTCTGTTAGCGTCCAAAGATGGGTTCTTAGGCTCCCAAACCCGCCGCTTAGGCGCAGGGATCTTGAGGTGCTTTGGCTCTATAAACACAACAATCTCCCACTTGGAGATAATAGCACCCAGCACCAGTCCTCTGTACCTGTACCTCAATCTGAATTTCCTTTATAGTCATGTACCATGGTTACATACCATGACTTGTCTCACCCCTAGTTTCAATCTTCATTAACCCAACCGAAGCCATGCAAACCTTCAGTTTCTCAACAGTTACCACATTCGTCAACATATCTGTAGGATTTTGGGCTTGTGTATCTTCTCCAGGAACAACTACTTATCTTCAAGAAGAGAGTGAATGAAATGATACCTTAACTGAATGTGTTTCGTCTTGGCATGAAAAACGACGTTCTTAGCAAGATGAATCACACTCATAGTGTCACTGTTGAGTCTTTCAATCTCTTGCCTCTTGCCCAATTCTGTCATGAAACTCTATAGCCAAATCATTTCCTTGCTGACATCAGTAATAACAACATATTCGACCTCCATAGTAGAATGTTCAACGAACATCCATAACCTGGAAACCCAACTCACCGCTGTGCTCCCCAATGTGAAGAACTCCTTAGTAGAATGTACTTATTTTATTGTCCACATCTCCTTCCAGATCTGAATCTATGAATCCCTGTAGACTGATCCTTATATTTCCACAACAAAGTGTTATGTTAACTGATCATCTCCAATACCTGAGAATTCACTTTACTGCCTCCAAATGATGTTTGCTTGGATTGCCCATGTAGCTGCTGACTACTTTCACTGCATATGCAATAACTAGCCTAGTACAAATTATCACATACAACAAACTTCCAAGTATTAAAGATTCTCTTCATCCGTGCTTTCTCTGCTTCAGAGTTTGACGATAGCTCCTTAGATAATTTGAAGTGACTATCTAAGGGACTGCTAATTGGTTTCGCCTCACTCACGTTGAAACTCTGTAGGATCTTTTTAACATAACCGACGCTAATTTAGATTCAGAATACTTTCAGTTTTTTCTGACGTTAAAATGGGCGCCACTAATTTACTTTGCTTCATTATTAATGTTGGATTTTAACGTGTCCGCATTAGCGTTGAAAACAACTATCGCTAAAAAATACTGTCGAACAGGCAAGCGACGCTGGTGTAACGATGCAATAGCGTCAAAGAAGACCGACACTGATTAGCATCGAACAAGTTCAATGCTAACCAACGTTGGTCTTCTTTGACGCTATTGTGTCGTTTTAGCGGCAACTTATATCATTGGATGATTGTAGGTTTTAGTGTCATAATGTTCTGATGCTAATCCGATGCTAATCTGTAAGAAACAAAAAAATTCAACAAATGATTAGATTTCCACATACTTGCACATAACAAACATAATCAACATATTATGATTTTTATCTATCATCACAAATCATAAAAGAAATCTTCAATTTACGCATAAAGATACCAAATCAAATTAAATATAATTTGATTAAAGTGCTTAAATTTTACAACACAAGAAATTGAAAGTTTGTAAAATATTGAAATGAAAAAAAACTTAAAATCTGCTCCTATATCGGGGTAACATCAACAAACACAGAAAAAAATCTGATCTTCATTCTCATCATCATCCTGCTCTTCCTCCTCAACCGGGCGCATGTGCCGCTTGCTCTGGCGATTAAAACTCTTCGTCAGGAGTGCTAGGCTATCTGCAACAAGCTGTTGGCCTTCACGCACCTGTTGGACCTCTTCATTCATCATCATTACACGCATGACAAGCTCCTCATTCTGAGCCTGTAATGAGTTAGGGTCATCCCCATTTGCTCAGGAATGCTTGGCCTTTAAAAGAAAAACATAAAACTAAGTTAAGTGTTGTCGAGTTGAGAATGCTTAGGAGGATGAGTGGCATTACACTTGAGACGAAAACACAAAATGAATATATTTGTGATACGGTTGGTGTATTTCTGGTGGCGGACAAAATTAGTGAGAGTCGTCTTACCTGGTTTGGTCACATTGAACATCGACCATCTGATGATCCAATTTAGATTCATTTTATGTTAAGAAAGACAAAAGTAGACATAAAAAGACTTGGGCATATTGTATAAAAATGATCTTAATTTATTAGAATTAAATGAAAATGACACTTAATTGGATGCAATGGAGAAAAAAGGATTCATGTAGCCAACCCCATTTGTTTAGAAATTAAGTAAATCATTTGAAAAGGTAACGTATGCTTTAATTTAAAATTAAAGTTTAATTTATTTAATTTATATTTATTATTTAATAAAAATGTCATTGTTTAATAGTAATTTAGGTTGAAGAATATTTGAACCTAGAAGATCAAGATTTAGGGAATCGGTGTGACAAGCAAGTAAAGTAAGATGAGTAATTAATTTTTTGTATGTATTAAATGAAGATTTTGTTAAATGAATAACTGCTTTATTAACTGATTTAGATAAATATTTCACTCATATCTTGCATTTTGTTTCTGAGTACGGTCTCTATTTGATTTTAAAAGCTAAATGCCATTTCCTTTAATCTATAGTATCACGCTTCTTATTACGAGTTTGAATTCTCTCATGTGAAAATCTTCTATTTTAAATTCCCTTGCCAAGGAGTCTACAGGAGAAGAAAGTCACTTGTTCTTATGACTTTTACAAGAAAGTATGATGTTGTCGGAGAAGGTTTTCGAGGAACTCACATGGTAGTTTTTAATTTTTATTTGTCCATTCATCCTTTCCCCTCTCTCTTACCTGCATCATGATGTTTTTTGGCATAGCTGGTAAACATTAACACGACCTACAATATAATCAAGTACACTTCTGATTTTATTTTAAGAAAATTAAATATTAGGTAATGCTAGATATTAGGTTGATAATTAGACATATATAACCAAAATGGTATGTCAGAGTTCGACTTGTATGCATTAGTGTGAACTTTTAGTTAGATGCAGCTTGACTATTCTGGTTATTGGGGTAGTTACACATCGATAATGAATTCTGATTCCTTAATGTCATCTGTAATTTTTTTTAGTTCTCTCCTAAGAAAATGTGTTTTCGGCAGCTCCTGTACTGAAAATTTTGATTCTTTCAACATTAGGCTTCGTAACTTATGTAAAGTTGGATATTTGAATTTTTTTGGCTGCATCTCTTTCCCAACTTAATATATATTTCAATATCCTCTTTTGATGTTTACTGTAGGGACCTCATCAATCCATTCACCGGTCTCGTATTGCTTTGAAATACATCTTATTGGGCTTGTCAGGACAAGTAGATGATATATTAGCGAAGTATAAGGTCTGTAAACACTTGCACTAGAATCTAAGATTGTATGAACAATTTATTTGACATCTTAGCTCTTTACTTTGCGGCATTTCTGTCACTAATTGTCATATTATTCTATCTGGACTCAGAACTTACTTCCTTTGTCCATTTTCAGGAACATAAACACAAACTTCTTTTTATCATTGAAATGCTAGAACCCTTTCTTGATCCTGCCGTATTGTCTATGAATAATTCTAAACTTTCTGGAGATGTATCTATTATCTTTTTGGAAAAGCAAGATAATAATTGCTTTTTCGCACTTAATATTATCCGTGCAGCTGTGAGAAGGCCTACCGTTCTTCCCTCCTTGGAATCTGAATGGAGACGTGGATCTGTTGCTTCAAGGTATGTTCAACACCCCTAACCTCTACTTGGTGGACTATTTGTAAGAGCTATTTCTCGGTTTAACTGCTGATTTGCAAATGTTTATGAATCATCTTGAAATCATGACGCTTTCGTTAAGTAGATTAGATTTTTTAGATATATGCTCTACTTCCTTAACCTTATGGAAGTTTATTTCTATTATAGAAAATATTTATGACAATCTTGCGTGATGAAATATTTCTGCTACTCTATTATTCTTTTGCAGTGTGCTTCTTTCCATCCTTGGACCAAATATGCCACTGCCCTTTGATATTGATCGCTTCAAATGTTCTACTGCTGAAGTTGTTGACTCGGGGTTATTTAAAGGGCCATCAAGCTCTTCTTCTGTTTCCCCAAATGTACATATTTCCAAATTCAGTAATTGCAGTGATGTAGATGGAAAGGTTGATGGAGCTGATACTATTAAATTGGATGTCCTTGAAGAGTCAGGATTTTTATTTGCTCCCCAAGGATTGAAAAACACACCCTTGATGAACTTCTCTAAACATTATACAGGAGGTTCTAGAGGGAATGAAGATAAAAATATTGAAAATTGGACGTTGATGGACAACTTTAAGTTGGAGGGTGGGTTCTTTTGTGATTACTTAAATATGAAAGTGGATTATCTAAAACTGGCAAATCTCGATGACTGTGAGCTCAGAGCTGCTGAGTTTCAACAGCTAGGGCTAGATTTATGTTCGCAGGGTGATGTTACTGCAGAAGGCTATGATGCTGCAATAGATGCTTTTATATTAGCTGCTGAATGTTATATCAATCCTTATTTTATGTTATCTGTCACGCCCAATTCTAAGCTTTCTGAACACTTGAATTTTATCAAATCTCTGATGAACCAAAGCAACAGCATTATGAAACTCAAAAAAGACTTCCTGAAAACTGCAACTGATTTGGAGATTATTTCTCATCTTGAAAGAAAGCGAGACAAAACTGTTATAGAGATTCTAGTTCAGGCTGCCAGTGTGAACAAGGAACACATTTTAAGGCAATCAAAGTCTTGTCCAGATGATATTGTGCACAGACAACAGGACTTAAACATACTCCCCCTTGATCTTAAGGCTGTTGATGCAGTGACATTACTTAGGCAAAATCAGAGTTTATTGCTTGAGTTTGTGATTCAGCAATTGCAAAGAGAGCAACATTTGTTACATGATGTTCTCCTCCAGGCTTTGTTGTTTCTTTTGCAGTCTGCAACGGAGCTTTTGTGCCCTCCCGAGGCTGTGGTAGACATAATTCTGTTTTCTGCCGAGAACCTTAGCTTGCTTCTCATGTCTCTGTATAGTAAAGTTGAAAAAGAACCTTCACATTTTGATTTGGAAAAGTTGCATGGGCTGCACAGGCGCTGGTTGCTTCTTGAAAGATTAGTTATAGCATCATCTGGAAGTAATAATGATTTAATGTCTAGAAATGTTACCTATGGCCAAAAAAAAACTCAATATAGAAGTTTAATTCCACTTTCATCATGGATAAACATGATATCGAAGTTTTCAAATGCAAGTCCTATTTGTCGTTTCCTTGGGTGGATGGCTGTGTCCTGTTATGCGAAACAATTTCTGAAAGGACATATGTTCTTTGCCTCAGATCTGTCACAACTTACTTCGCTGCTTACTGTTTTTGCTGATGAACTTGCATTTGTGGATAATACATTACAGCTGAAAGTAGAAGAATCAACACATTTCAAGCAGTCTGAAGCCTTTGCACATTTGCAAGCTGAGAGCCAATGCACACATTCAAATACCTCAGAACAAAGGGATTCTTTTCACTTGCTTTATCCTTCTCTGCATAAATTTTTTCCTAACATGAGCAGGCAATTTAGAACTTTTGGAGAGAGAATTTTAGAGGCTGTTGGCTTACAACTTAAATGTCTTCCTTCCAGTTCCACTCCCGAAATACTTCGTTGGTTTTCTGATTTATGCATATGTCCATATTCTGTAGCAATAAAAATTCAAGATCTAACCACTGCAAGCTCTTTTGATTGTTTGAAAGGATATACTGCTACAAATGCTAAAGGGGTAGTCCTTTACCTATTGGAATCTCTGGTTACTGTGCATATGAAATCAATGCTTCCTGAGATGACTAGGGTAGCACGGATATTGATATCACTTTGCAAAACCTCATATTGTGATGTGGCATTTCTTGATTCTGTACTTCGTCTTCTGAGGCCTCTTATTTCGTTCTCTCTAAAAAGGCTCAATCTCGATGAAAAGCTATTGGCTGATGCTGCATCTTCTAAGGATTTTGAATTATTAAATTTTGAAGAACTATTTGATAGTATCAAAAACAAGAGAGACTTGCAGGATGGTTCTGGTGAGGATAAATTTCAAGGATCATTGATGATCTTTATTTTGGGTACTCTCTTTCCTGATTTGTCCTTGAAGAGGAAGATTGATATTTTGCAGTCGTTGTTGCTGTGGGTTGGCTTTACTTCAGAGCAGACCACCTCGTTCTATAATTACCTCTGTGCTTTCAAGAAGGTCTTTGATAGCTGTGAAATGTTATTGGAGCAACAGTTAGAGCAGTATGGATTTCTTTTACCCTATGAGGGACTACATCTAGTGGGACCACGTGAAACTGTAAGCCTTCAAGGCAAGGCAGACCTATCTTCTCCTTTTTCTGATAATGGAGATCAGAGAGTCACAGAACAGCCTGCACATGAGTTTAACAGTAGTGATACTCTTGCAGACCTCCCAGATCTAGAAATCCATTACATATCGAATGAAGAAATGAAAGAATTCCTGGAAGTGTTGGAAGCATTAGTTCTGAAGCTTATTCCAGAAATTGAGAAGAGCTGGAAACTGCATCATAAGTTGGCAAACCAACTCACAGTGAAGATAGCACGATGTTTCTTGTTATGTAGCTGCTTGAAATTTGTTTGTATATCAGGTTTTATCACAAATTATTGTAATGGTGGAAGCCTGTCTGACCATGACCTTCCTGATATTTGGAAGAATGGTCTGCAAGGCTTTACAAAAGCCATATTAGCTATTCAGGAAAATGAATGCTGGCAAACAACATCTGCCATGCTGGACTTTCTTTTCAGGTTGCCGCAAACCATCTCTCTTGACCATGGTCTCTGTAATATATGCTCAGCAATAAAGTTTTTTTGCCTTCGTGCTCCAATGATATCATGGAGATTGCAGACAGATAAATGGCTGACCTATTTATTTGTGAGGGGTATGGGAAATATTGATGCATTGGATGATTCCTTGGTTGATTTGTTTAGTACAATGCTTTCTCATGCTGAACCTGAACAACGAGCTGTTGCACTGCACCACCTTGGAGTAATGGTTGGGTTAGACACCTATGATGGAGCAGCCATGCTATCATGTAAATTTCGTTCAAATTTGTGTGGGTCTGAACCAGCTACATCTCTTCCCGAGTCATTCATTTCCACTTTGGTTTCAAATACATGGGATAGGGTGGCAGCCTTAGTTTTGTCCGAACCTTCTATGATATTAAGATTACATGCAATGGCACTCTTGTCCGGTTATGTTCCCTTTGTGATGCGTCCACAGTTGCAGTCATTTTTTATTTCAGCGAGTAATATCTTGCAGTGTATGGGAAAGCTTACCCCCTTAATGGAGGAAGGCCATTTAACGCGTCTTTCTTTAAGACTTCTTGCAAATGCATGCCTATACTCTCCTGCTGAGGATATAGCATTGCTACCTGAAACTATTTGGAGAAATATGGAGCAGATAGGAACTTCCAGAACAGGTAACTCTGCTTAGACCTTAAAGCACCATTTACATAGTATTTGATAGTTTCATTAGGTGAATTTGTTGGAAGATTATTTAGTGGGTGTTGGAATATCTTGATTAGCTTGGTTTGCAGTTAATGAACCTCAATTTCTCTGTAGGATGGCTTGATGATGCAGAGAAGAACGTATGTTTGGCTTTGTGCAGGCTTCAAACTGAGTTAGTTGGTGGAAAAGTGGTTTGTTCCTTGTTTTATTTGACCTTGCTATAATTGCTATTTTTAATGATACTGTACAATTGTTAGCGAAACACAAATTGCATTTCATTTATCTAAGTTGTGTCTGGTTATCTTTCATAACTGTGGGTATGATTTTCTTTCTTCATTTGCAGAAGTTTTTTTTAACCTGGAATGCTATTTTATATATTCTTCTTGTTTACTTTGTATTTAAGGCTCTCTAAAGCATTTTGGCTAACCCTCGTTTTTACCTTTAACGGCTATTTTTGAGATTAGGATTTTTTAATTTTGTTGAAGGCTCTCAAGGAAGCATTGTCAGCCACTTCAACTACGAGGTTAGGTGATGCTAATTTTCAAAGTGTTCGGGAGTCGATTTTTGAGGTGAGCTCTTCTTCATGCCCTGTGACTCATTGATTGTTGAACCAGATGCACAAAAGCATGTATTTGTAATGTGTATGCTCTATGTTTATTCTATTGGGATATGATGACCGAAGCAAAATTAATTCTCATGTTTTCGATGCCCTCTAAATCAATTTTCTATACATGAATAAACATTAATAATTGATTCTGAAGTTACTTACATTCCTCATGTCAATCACGAAGGACGGAAATCAGACAGCTAAATTAAGAGTTTTCTATAAGTAGGAGTTTTCTTATTTCCATTATCTTTATTCTGATTTATTTCCCTTTTAGCTGAATATTTAGATTAGGAATATGCATTATTAAGTTAACTAAAATAGATTATAGACACTTTATTTTGTACCTAAAATTGATTGTAAGATTGTTATTTAATGGAATGAAAGCAAAGGAAAAAGGAGATTGAGCCTATTCAGATTTCAGCCTATTTTTATCAAAACTTTGACATGGTATCAGAGCCAAGTTTTTCCTCTAACCACCGGTAATTATTGGAGGAACGTCTAGACTCCCTTTCCGCCAACCTTCCAGCGGGAAGGGCGGAACTATTTCTTTGTCTTGATTCTCGTTTGTCTGATTTGTCTAAAATCCGGCACCACAACTATGCCTTTCGCCGGAGTGGACGATCCCGCCGCAGGAGACGACGAAGTCACTGATAGCGAGGAAATTATCGGCATCAGTGACCACATTCATTGACACTCTTGGGCGTCGACAATCTCAGGCTTTAGTCGCTCGGGCTTGGGCACTCTCAGGCTTCGGCACTCTTCGACACTCTCAGGCTTCGACATCTTAGGCTTCGGCAATCTCAGGCTTCGGCACCTCAGGCTTCGGCAATCTCAGGCTTCGGCACCTCAGGCTTCGGTTCGGCAATCTCAGGCTTCGGCACAGGCTTCGGCAATCTCAGGCTTCGGCACTCTCAGGCTTTGACACTCTCGGCTTCGACAGCTTGAGGATTTTTAGTTCCGACAATGTTATCAGCTTCTTGTTAGTAAATTGATGTTTCCTGATCAGTCAGCATCAATTTGAGGGGGGATGTCAATCAGAAAGAACGGAAATCAGGGAATTGTAATTTCTCTATCAGAGTCGCTTGAATTTGTCAGCCGATTTTTTTTTAGAATTTTGAAAATATATTTAGTTTAATATGTATATAATTTTGATTTTGAAAAATGAGACCGAACATATCTCATATATTTAATAGTTTATATAGTTAATCACAATACCACAAGTGATATATCATTTCGAAAGATAAGTGTATCACTTGTTGGTATGCTTAACTATAAAATTAAAAAATTTATGGCTCTATTTTGGTTTGCGAAATTTATGACCGATAATTTCTCTATCTAATATAAAGATTAGACAGAGCTTAGATTATCTGGGTTACTAATTCTCTTATAGAGGCAAACCCCTATAGTTAATTACATCCTGGACAACCGAAGTCACCTAATAAAACTCTTGATTAAGATCAGGGGTTTCGTCTTCAAGAATTCAAAGTTTAGTAGTCACGATTGCTTATAGGAATATCAAATGGGAAAGTCTCAATGTGAAACAGTTATTTTCAGAATCTAAAAGAGTGAGTATATGTCGAAGATATCGAGAAAACCACATTGACATCTCAAATATTCTTATGGTTTGGCTTTATATCATTGAAAGGGAAGTTATTTAATATTTTAGTCCTGCAATTTATTTAGAAATTTGAGACTTATATTTGTACAATATACAATCATGCAAATGGCCCAAGAAGATAGGAAGATTTATGTCATACCGAACAATGACTTTGGAACCCTAAAAAGAGTTTAGGACTTATATCCGTATGATATACGATCATGCGAAAGCCTAAACGATAGAGTGAGGATTTATGTCGTGTCAGACGAATAACCTCAAAGTCCTAAATATTGTTATGTAAGACTATGGAAAATTCAGTTGAGATTGTCCTTAGCTTCGTGTTGTGGTCTCGATTGTCGCCATGAGGTTGACCGCTTCTCGACCACGTTGTTGCCTTCTTTAGTGAAATGAGGAGAGAAGAGAGAAACTACATAGAACGGTCTATCCTAAGTTCTTGTTGTTATTTAATGTAATCTTCAATTATGTGTGTAATGTTTCTATTTTTGTATGTAGCGTTGTGGTTTTTAAGATTTTCAATAACTGATATCAGAGAGAAATGGTCCACAAGTCTTTCAAAATACCGGTTAGAGCCACCAACAACTTAAAGAATGAAAATGGCAACTATCAATCAGTTATTGGCTATTATCAGTTCCAGCTCTAAACCTTCATGTATCATTAGGTTAGGCGGGGTGGTACTATTCTATCAGCACGAATATTGTGTTATACATCATTGCGGAAAACCCTCATACCTTCCAACTTATAGGCCAATCCGATAAACAGAGGAAAATTTGTTGTTCAAATAACGTAAACAATGGGAATGAATTCCCTCACACAATGTTTGGATCGTCTCACATGAATCATATATATTTATATTTAAACTAAAGAGTAAACAGCATGTCATTTTTTAATTAAAACCATAAGGCAGCTAGCAACCTTATCGTGATTCCAAGGATTTAAACAATGAACAAGCAAATATGAATGTCTTATGTGTGGATGTATAACAAACATAAAAGTATCCCAATAATTTCTTAACACAAACCACCTCAAAGTTTAGTATAGGACACAAATTTTCAGGCATTAGAAATATAAAAACATAAGGATTGGATGTATCTGCATATAAATATTATAATTTAAATGTTGCATATGTAAATACTAAAGAATTGTGTGCTATGTATATAATTCTCCCATAAGTAAAGGAAGCATCGACAGTCTCAAATGTTATCCAATCTTCTTTTCGAAGACAATTGAGGTTTTATAAAATTCTCTAGAGGAATTTACATACATAACTTCTCACAATTCTTAAGCATTTACCTGTCTAACATCCAAACTTTCATTTATACATCCATGTCATTCAATTCCTGTGTATTTACATTTCTAACTTCCCAAACGTCAATTTCTACATGCATATCAACTGAATTCTGCATGAGGAAGTTTCTTTTTTTTTACTTTTCAAAAGTTGTGGTAGTATATATTTGGTGATATGAAAGATTTGGGTGGTATAAATGTGAAAAGTAAAATTCAGCTGTTAGATATGTAAATTCATAATAATTGGATGGTATGTTCGCAAATACTGATCTTTTTTTTTTTGCTAAAAAATTGCTAAGAAATATGACTAAAAAATTAACAATAAGATCAATAGAATGAAGAGAATCTAAAAGGTCTGTGATTAATCAAATGAACTGAGGTGTAAGAAAATGCAATCCAAACAGGAGCAGTTGGAAGTTCCTATTAAACTTTAACAGTCCATTTCAACATTCAATGTTATAGGATCTACAAAAGAACAATCTTGTGTGTTCACCCTCGAGCTTAACTCTTATAAAAATATGCTCAAATTCAAAAGAACGAAGAACTTTCTAATGCCATAAAACTCAGACCATTTCACGTTCCAAAAACCAATCATGCTTTGCGAACTATAACACAGCTCTTTACATCAAAACGACGGTCTGTCACAATAAACAAAAGATCCTTCCCACCAATTAAAACCAACTCCAAGAGCCAAGACAGACTAAATAATAATTGAATCATATGTAAATACATCCAAATTACAAAAATCTGAATTTATTCAACAAATTTTCAAGGTTATGCATCTAAATATGCCAAACTCTAATGGATTAAAGGATTTATAGCTTCACATTTTAATTCAGATGCTAAATATGTAAATATTCCCGAATTTAAAGTGTTATGCATGTAAATATTTAAGAATTAAAAGATTTGTAGCTTGCTTTTAAATTTCAGGTGTTTGATATGTAAAATAAGGTTTCAATAGTAAGTATGTATTAAAAACTTTATGCATTATTTATAAATATATAACAATCTGCCAACACACAAATACTTCGTCTTCTATACATGAATATTTAAACATTGAATCGTATGTATATAACCTTTTTTAAAAATTTGGCGTCGTATACATAGAATAAAAAGGATTTAAGAATTGTAGGTATGCATATAAGCTTCTCCAAATGCCAAAATGACAGTAATACAAGATAATGAATAATTTGCACAATCTCAGGTTTTGAACACTGCAATTATGAAATTATAAGAACATCGATATATAATTCCTTAATTTATATATAAACCGAGAAATGATAATAAAAAGTAAGGTAACTTCGATTCATTCTGTCTCTTGCCTTTTCATTTTTTTAGCCAATCAAGAGTAACTTATGAAGAAATTCTGCCAAGAGAGAATGAAGTGTGCAGTTGAAGGTTAGAGAGCTTGGGTTATGAATTATGGCTGCTTTTTTTCTTTCCAACATGACTTAAAGCTGCTGTTACAAGGTTTTTCAGAGATTTCTTGCGGCTTAATTAATAATGAATGAAGGAAATCGAACGCACAATGCTTCAAGACAGCAGAAGTTGAGCAGGAAAAGAAAGAGTCCTCTCCTTTAAAGCTGCCCTTAAAGGGGTATTCACAACTCAGACGATTGAAAGTAGAAGGCAGAAATTCCTTGGGCGCAAATCCAAGAACATAAGGAAACTCACAAAGGAAAATGAGAGGGATTACCCATTCATATGCAAAAAAATAAGATCTTACCATTTCCGTTTGGATTCAAAAAGAACCCTTCATATTTTCACGGTTCGTCCATCATCCCTCAGCAAAGATGTCTCAAAATTATTAAGAAACAAATCTCATACATTCATTAGCTAAGTGAACAAGAAATCGATTCATAACCCAAGCCAATCAAACCAAATTTCAGAGGAAAAAAGAAAATAATTCCTCTTATTTAAATCAAGAACAAGGAAATACTTCTTATTTCATGAGATACTTCACACATAAACCAAAGAAGAAGGTGAAATAATACGATTCTTACCTCCAAAGCCTTGCTCCATTTAAGGTGGTCTTACATCCGTCCTAAGGTAATGCGGAA